TTCATTGCGGTCGAAGACAATGAGATGAAGATCTCTTCACACAATCCAACTTTTCCCGCTACTTGGCAATTCTTCTTTGGTGAGTCCATTTCAGGAATTCCTTCCAATCATTTTTTTTCTTCAAGATTGAAAGTCATGTTACAAGTATGCGAAGAAAAGTTTGGTATCTAGGAATCTCCAGTTTTATAATTGTTGAGCTTACTACCATTTCGAGTAAAAGTGTTGGCTGAAGAGATCCGAAGGTCGGTCCCACCAGAAGACGACGGCGGATTCTTCTTGACCAGCTGTCGATTGGCTTTACTGGAACATTCATGCTGACAATGTTTCCAAAGTAATTTCCTTCGATTCCGGTGAAAAGGTGCAAAGCTTTCGTCCGTCATATGACGAACATCATCAGAGCGAGGTATCATCGTCACAACAAAAATCAAGTTAATGAGTCAAAAAAACTCACAGGCAAATCCCTAAAAAGTGGCATATATACTCTACATCTGGCTCGTTAGCTCTGATAATGTTTGTCATGTGACGGACGAAAGCTTAGCACCTTTTCATCGGAATCGAATAAGATTGCCTCGGAAACAGCGAAATGGAAGTAAGCTCAACATTTATGCTACAAGTATCCACATTCTCATTAATACACGAGTTTGACATGGAATTTCGCTTCATCACTCAGTCCAAGACGCCTCCATTTTCGGCCTTGATTTGGTCGCACGATGAGTTAAACCACATGATTTGGGTGGGTAACTCCTTTCAAACTACTCATAATTGGTAGAGGCACTCTGTTGGCCGGTCAAATTGTACAACCATATGTTTGGTTTTATAAGTAGGTTTTCGAGTGTATTCACACTGTTTCGTTTAAGGTGATAAGGGGACTAGTAGTTGAAATTCGCCATATGGATTGGAGTAGACATGATGTTTTCATCGAATTTCACATATACCTGCTTTCTCAAAAGGTATTCTCAGCCAGGCTGAAGACTGCAGTTTCAACCTCGTCCAGGTTTTATCAACAACCCCAACGGGACTCGAACCATGACAACGCCATCTTCCCACGAGTGCCCTTAGCTCACGGGGCAGATGTGAATTTTAAGGAAGGTCAACATCATCACATCACATTTTGTGTTGGTTGTATTTACTGTAGCAATACACTATTTTACTAGTGCTTCGTTTTTTAACTAGGTTGTCAAGACTACCAGTAGCTCATTTATAGGTGAAGTGTCGAGATTGCACGAGGCAACGTCATGTCCCGATTCCTGCTGGGGGAGTTGATAAGACTTAGGATAGGTGGAAACTACAGTCAACCCTAGATTAAAATGCATTTTGGGATAGCAAGACTATGTAGAGTTGTGGGAAAAATTCACTCACCAATTGCCTTATCACCTTAAACGAAACAGGGTGAATACACTTCATATGCACCCCTAGTTCGACTCCCGCAAATGCTGCTGATGAGAGGACAGTGTGATGTGTAAATTGTCGTGATGCTTGACCGAGGACAGCTTTTAGGACGCATGGTAAAGTGAGATTCAATGCAAAACTCGAGTGCAGAGTGGTCACAATATATGCGATACCCTTCAAAAAGATTTGTTATGTTAGTCTGGCGACATTTTACGCAGCTTCAAAGGCAACTACCGTATTTTCCGGCGTATAAGACGACTGGGCGCATAAGACGATCCCCTGACTTTTCCAGTTAAAATATACATTTTGTAAGGAGGTAAGGGGCACAACAGGAGCTCGAAACCATAATATAATTAGCGATCCCTAAACTACACTCGGCGTATAAGACGACCCCCCCTTTGGGAGCAGAAATTTATGGTGTGAAATGTCGTCTTATACGCCGGAAAAGACGGTATTCGCGTTTCTTTCCCAAAAGTAGCACACAAATAGAGGACTAAAAGCTCCTGGCCGACCCCAATAAGTACCAACAGGGCCGACTGAGGCGTGAAGAAAAAGACAGACAGAAATCACGATATTGCCTGAAAATCACCACGAGACTGAAGAATATTTTAGACATCGCCCAAATTGCGTTTCCGTGACACTTTGAGAAGGTATTTACTGATTCGCCGAGCATAAAGACCACCCATTCTTCCTCTCGTTTCTAAAGCTGGGGCCAGTAGTCGTTGCGTCGCGTCCACCTACTCCTTTCCAGCCGTGCCAAGCAACGGCGAATGGACAGTCTCCCGAGGGAGCGCATCCGGCCAAATGACTCTCAGCCTCTTTCGCAAAAAGACAACGCCATTTGAGACTGCAGCCTTACTATGAATGGCCGACACCATTTCCTTCACCCATTTGGCCCAGGCCCACAGCAAGTGTGAATGCTTGAATGGGTTTCAAGGTAACCCTACCTTAGCCACGTGCCTCGGCCAATTCGTCTGTCCAACTCTTCCTCTTAGTTAGTGATTTGGACATCTCCCATGCCGACTTGGCCTCCTTCAGACACGTGCTCACGATCATACGTCGTGGCAATGTGACAGGTTTATGCACATGAATACGCAAGCATGCCTACGCTTGTTATAAGCAATCAGCCTGCCTACACACACACACAGAGACCAACGCACACGAGCAAGCAGACGATAATGTTCGGACAGTCGTCTAGGCGTCTGAGCTTCATTCGCAGGTGGAGGGTGGTGGGAGGATGTGGAGGAAAGAGGGGTAGGACCGGGCGGTTGGGCTGCGTTTGATTGGCGCAGACCGGATTCAAGAAAAGTGGGAATCTCTGGCAGCCGAGATTCGGACCAGTTTGAATGGTTTGTCTCAGACACCGCGTGTCCGACACGTGCCTGGCAGCCGTGCCTCGAGACGGATCTGGTGCCCTCGGCCGTTGTCCTCAAGGCACGTGAAACGGGAACTTTAGGCGAAAATATGTGAAAAAGGGAGGCAGATCTAAAGGAGAAAAAGGGAAGTGGAGCAAACTAAGTTGAAATGAAAGCATCACTTCCACATGGCGTACCAAGTTTCTTGTGCAGATAAAAGGGAATGCATGTGTTTGTATGTCTGTCTGCATGTGCGTGTGTGTGTGAGCAGGCCTGTGTGGGGTATGGTCTACGTTGCTAGCGCGTATTGCAAATGTTAACGGTATTACCTCAATTTTCGTCTTTAGTTCTCCCGGCAAGCAGATAAAATGAGTCCATTCTGCAAAGCCGTGTCCAAATTAG